ATGCTCATTTGTAAGATCCATGTAACATTCACTTTAAATAATCAATACAGCATCACTGACGGGCTGCCTCCTGGGAGTTCTACACTTTAGTTTTTTGGCATATTAAATGCCCCAGCCAGAGAAAAGTTTGCTCTTTTTTTTGCAATCTGCAATGTTAGAGTAGATTTCTCTGTTGTGAGTATTAATAATTAGTTCATTAAAGAATTTTACTAATTCTTCATTAAAGGTTTGTTGATCTTATAATACCACTCAAGCTTTTTCATACAGGATGTCCAGAAATTTCCTCAAATAGATAGTTCTGGTTTCATGTTCAGACTATGGTAGGCTCATTATGGCTAGTACACTGTCATCTTTCATTTTTCCAACCATTTCATCTGAGCTGTCCTGTTTGATGTAATAACTTAGCTTTGTTTATAGAGAAAAGGCTGCTATCAGGGTTAGCTTCTGTTGCTTTGACCTTCTGGTTCACACACCTGGTGTGACATTTTTCTTTGGTCTAGTGTGAAGAAAAATACCACAAATACATGTTTATGAATGAAAAAATATAGTTTATTTTAGTGTACATAGAGAAGAAAATCAAATAAAAAAAGACTATACAATATAAATGGGTTTGCTGCATGCAGCCAAGTTAAGCATTTCCTGAGAGATGTATTCCCTCTTAATAGGGTAATTTGTGAAGAAAAAACAACAACAATATTACTCACAGCTTTAAAAGACTGGCTGAGGAGACCAGCCCTTGACTAGTGCCTTTATCTGAACAGTTTAACATACTGGTTCAAGTAAAAGTGTTGCTTTGTGAAAAACAGCCTATGTTAAATATTCAAAAAAACTCCTTCATCAATTACCTTTTTGGTGTTTTAGCCTGTTATAGTGAAAGACACTGAGATGTAATACCAAAGGTAAAAGTAAGGAAGTCTACACATCGTCATTCAAACATCCGCAGTACCAAAGAAGGGTTTTGTTTACCATGCTTCATCAGCTTACATGACCTGAACTCCAATCTGAAAACAGGTTTTTCATCAGCAGACAATCACAGGTGTGGTTTTACATACAGATGCATACAAAACTCACAATGAGTGCCCTGACCCCTCAGGTTTTTATCTGTGGTCAATACAAAAGAATAACAAATCATCTGGTTTTGATTGTCTCAGGTTTAAATCAGTTTTTACGCCATATGCCTCTGGGTCAGCCAGGAAGGCCATCATAACTGTCTGTCCTTTGAGAATCAGTGTTTCACATCTTAGTGACACTTTGAGGGTTGTCGATTTCGATCACTTCAAAGCCCCGGTTGTCAAGTCCGTCTCTAGAATGCAGATGGTGTCCCTTGATGTTGTGGTAGCAGTATGCACAATGTGCAGTGGCTACCGGCACCACTTTGGAGAAGTTGGAGAAATCTACTCTGTATTTGCCCTCTTTGCTTCTGGAGATGATCGGCAAGAAGCTGTAGCCCCACATGATCTCCTGGGGGATAAAGGAGGTTCTCACCTGACAGGAAGAACTTGTAGACTCTGCAGTACCATCTAAGAAGACCACAAGCTCAAACTCTTTCTCATGTAGAGTGTCTACCGCCATGTCGAAGAATGGGCTGCTCTTGTCAATAACGTGATGCAACGTGAGAGGGGTTACAAAGAACAGGTTGTCCTTTCCAGCATCTACCATGAACTCAATATTCACTTGATCCATGATGATCGTCTCACCATCTGGTGTGGTTGTCGTTCTCAACAGCTTGCCATAGATGTTGCTACCAATCATTAGGGTCTTGCGAAGGTTGGCTACTCTGATTGACAGGCAGAGAGAGCCATTTCTGGGACTGATGACAGCCATCTCACTAAATGTGATGGTCTTGGCCCTCTTTTTTGGCAAGGAGATCTTGGACAGGATGATTCCACACATGAAGCAGTTGATAACCGCCCCAATGAGAGACTGGATAATGATTAGTGCAACAGCACCAGGACATTCAGGAGTGATTGCTCGTCCACCGTACCCAATAGTTGTCTGGGTTTCAAGTGAGTAAAGGAAGGCTGTAGTGAGTCCAACAACATTGTCAACGCATGCAGCGTGATCAGCAGTGGGCTCTTGCCATGTCAGATCTCCATTGCTTCGGGCAATCCAGTACCACAGCAGGCCAAAGAGAAACCAGCTGAGAGTAAAAGATGCAATGAAAAATAAGAGGACAAAACGCCACCTGATCTCTACAAAGGTGGTCCAGAAGTCAACTAGGAAGGCGAAGTGGGTGCTATACTTGATGTTTCCGTACTCAATGTTGCAGCGCCCATCTTTAGTTACTAATCTGGTGCGTCGCCTTCTCCTCTCCAGCATATAGTCTTGGATTCGCTTGTTTAAGGTGCTCATCTTTCTTTATAATTCAGTAACCTATAAGACAAAAATAGAAGGACATATAATGTCAACACAATGCACATCAATTAAATATCATGCAAAATAAGCAAATGGTATTAATAAATGGATGAGTAGCTGCTACTTTACATAACAGCATCTGACTTGGGGGGATTAAATAACATTACGAGGTCCTGCAAAAGGTTGACTACTTAAAAAGAGTAATACAACTTTTTTTCTTTAGTTTTTATTTAGTAAAAAAGTAAGCTTAGGGAAATACTTTTGGTTTTACATGTTTATATTTTCTTTTTTTTCCTACAGCTTTAGGATTGTGCCCATTATGCTACTTTTAGTATATAAAGCAGTACACACAACTGTACTAAACTTTAAGTTTCTAATGAAGACTCTGATATGCATGGAATTCTGCTTTAGGTGATGTGTCTTGACAAAAGAGAACTTAATATGGCAATGCAGTTATTTTGGAGACCATTACGACAGGTCCCATAAAAAAATCTAGTGCAAAGCCCTTGTTCTTGCCCAGTCATGGAAAAAGCCATGTTAATTATGACATGTCTGTTGGTGAAATGTGACTAAACAATCAGTGTTGTGAGTTTACATTTTTTTTAGCAGTGTTCAAGCACCACAGTAAAACAAAATTGGATAAGCACACAGCATTTCTTGTTTCACAAGCTCTAACCCACTTTGAAGTAGACTGTGTCATTCCATACCTAATGATTAGGTCAGCAGGTTTTCATGCATTAGTTTTGCAGTGAAATCATTTTAAGCATTTAGGGATTTTGCGTAACATAAGTCATACTAAATTATAGCTTTGCATAGAAAATGACCACATGCAAAAATGAAGAGATGTTGACTGAGCCTTAAAAGAGGCTTCAACACAGTTTTAAAGTCAAAGTAGAAGTTCTTTGCTGGTATGTGCAGTTATCCCTGTTTATTTATGCAACTATTTAATTCAAAATATCACAGAAGACTTTTTAAACAGTTTGGTTGAATTAAATTAAAAGCATATAGCAAATGCCATTCATGCATTATATATTTTTTTCTTTCATCAAAGACCTTTTAAGTCAGTCTAATTTTATATGCTGTGTGTGTCCATGGGATTCGTAAACCTTTTTTAGTAAAAACCCTCAGAAACATTTTATTTAACTTAAATTTTACACTTGAAATCCAGCCTTAGTTTCTGACTCAGTTGCTGTTCTGCTCGAATAACCAGTTCTGTTTAAGCATTTTGGTGCAAAATCAAAATAAATCAACTGGAACTCACCAAAATGAAGAAGTTTGTGCAAAGCATCCAATGTTGAATGAATGACTGTCTCCTCCGTCTTTGTGGTCTAAGGCAGCTGAGGTGTGTCCTTTTCTGCCAGAAGAACCACCTTGTGTGGCTTTATACTCTAGTGTGTCAGCGTGTCAGAATCAGTCGTGATGTTAACGCCCACAGGTACATCAACCCCCCCACCACCATACCAACACACCCACGCATATGCATACAATTTTCTGGCACTAAAAAAAGTCTGTTTTGTCCACAAATGCCATGCACCGAGGACCGAGATGACCTCTGTCGTGCAACTACTGCATTAAGTCTTGCTCTACATCCAAAGTTGGTTGTTCCGTGTTTGAACCATGGTTTTGTGTCTGAACTCACCTTAAAGAAGCCAGTGGAGCTAATGTTGACAGTGTAAAGGCAAAGCCAGTACCTGTAAATGACTTTGGTTTTCAACATTTAAAATGTCAAATAGACATGAACTGTGCAACGTTTCCATGCATGCAGCCCTAAGCACTCCCTTTAGAAATAAAATTCAGCTCTCACTATTTTGAACTTTGAAGATGTGAGATTTAAATGTGTTTGATCCAGAAATGGATCAAACAAAGGTGTTTTAAATGAGCTGATTCTCTAATATGTGTATTTTAGTTAAGCCAAATGGTTTAATTTACTGCAAGTAGTTTCAAAACTGTCAATCCGTAATAAGCATTTCTTTACTCAGTGCAGTATTTTTCTAATAGTGAAGTAATTAAGCATTTCCCTTCAGTCTAGGGGTGAGAGAGAAACATCAGAAGCTGTAAAAGATGAGAACATGACAAAGCCAAACAGATTCTCTCTGGGTTTTTTTGGAAACAACCTATTTAGGAACTGCAGATATGTGAATGCTGGGGGTAGAGAAAGTTGTGAATAGTGAAAGGATTGATTTTTTAAAAGTGAATCTCATTACATTCAAAGCACGCTGCAGTATTACCTTACATGCTGTCCACTGTTTATTCTTCCAATATTTAATTACTATTGACACAGCAATGAGAGGGCTAACAATTATTTCTTTCAATTTTTGGAGTTTGTACCCATATAAAATGATTGGTATTTGCTTATTTTAATTGTATGTCTATTTTTAGTGTCAATCTATCACCAAATTTTATTGACCACTTTGTTTTATACTGTTAATTTGCAATTACCTGTGAAAATATTGCCTTAAAAATACATACTGTATTGTAGCTGTCTCGATTCTTGTGAGGGTGCACCAGCAAAAGAGCATTTAATATAATAAAAATAACTTCAAAGCAAGAAAATAACTCAGCTTTATTGGTAATTGGTGTACAGATTGAATTAGTTCTAAAGAATCAAATAAGGAAAAAGCTACACTTTGACATTTTTCTAAGGAAATATATTATTTTGGGGCTTTTTGGGTTTCTATAAACAATTTGTGAATAAAACATGAAATGAGGATTGTTTATTTTACTGACAGAGATTTATATGCAGAGAAACTGTGATAGTGACAAACATTTCCACTCCAAACATTATGAAGTCTTGAAGGACTTGGCAGCCTCTGCAATGCATGTTGCTCTTGAGATTTTCTTAGTTAATCAAGAATTCCTGGAGAGGTGGCGAAACGACTTCAAATCTTGGAAACCAAGTCCAGTGGATATTTTTTGAATTTTTACGGAATTACTATGACCATAATCACCTGACCAACCTTAATTCAACTCAATTCAATTATCCTTTATTAATCCCCGAAAGGGAAATTCAGTTTCAGTACAGCCCGCCTGGGGGTTGGGGGTGGTGGGGACTGGGTTGTGGGGCAGGGGTCTGAGGTATCCGAGGCCTTGCTGCCATAAAAGGTGCTGCCGTAAGTCAGCTTCAGTCTGCTTTTCTTATGTGAAGAATCAAATGCATCAAATATTCAGATAGTATCAATTCATTTATTTCAGCCATAGCTCTTCGAACAAAGTTTCCTTTAGAAGAAATAACGTTTCGGTGGCCAGGCATTGCCAGAAACTCAACATAACTGTCCTGCTTTTGTTGGGTTTGGGATTTCCAGATGTTGTCACTAAGGGGAAATCAAATTGTTAATTACGCACACTTTCAGTTCAAAACAATGGAACAAAGAGAAAAGGCTCTTGGATGCAGCTTCACCTGAGCTAGAAGTTTCTAAGTAGTTAACCAGTTTTATATTCAATGTTTCTCTAATTTCAACATTATATTTTCACTTGTTTATTACCTGCTCCACAGGTACTTTTCTTCATTCCGCGAAAGCAATCTTAACCGGAGAAGATGTGTAGAAGAAGAATAAAGAGAATATTTTAGGACCCTGTTTTAACTCACCCAATTAAACTTGGAACAACATTAATCATCCAGGTTTACATCTGAGCTAACTTTATATTTTACTGTGCAATTTCCATTGCACAGGCCACAGATTCCCCGACTTTAAAAAGTTAAAAAACTCCTGGATGTAACTCTATCTTTTAGCCGGTAAAAAAAAACTAAAACATTTTTATATATTTCATCAAGTTAGCAAATTTTTAATTTGCTTATGTCTTTAGTAAATGTACAAAAAAATTAAATTCTAGGTAGAATTGATAAGTGGTAGGTTAACAAAAAGTTGATGAACAATTCATATGACTCTTAAGTCAATAGAAATAATACTTTTATATCAGTCTTAACTTTTTGGGTGTATAGTCGATTTAACACAATAGCTCAATACTTTAAAGAGCTTGAAGGGAAACCAGTAAAGAAATAGTTAGGATATAGAGGTTTTGCCCTTGAGTGAACGTGAGTATTTGTGAGCAGAGAGGGTGAGAACTAAGAGAGGGTGCAACATTTTGCTGGGTCATCATGCCACTGGGCATTCATATTCCATATCCATCATTCTCAGAGTAAAAATGGCACAGAGCTAAATGCCAGCCACTACAATCCCAAGCTGTGCAATGTGCTTGTCAAGAGTTTACCTCCTGTGGCAATAGCAGTATTTTCTAGAATGAATTTCAAAAAGGGGATCCTTTGTCAATTTGCATGCGTTTCTGCAATGAGATATGGCTTGGAAAATCAAGATGCATGCTCAAAGGAATAAAACAAGCTGTTTAGATGAACTTAAGGCTTAGGTCTCCAGTATGGTTTGCCAGCGCTATGTGCATTCCAGTAGAAGGCGAGGACAAAAGCGTTAAGGCTTGAATGTGAACAAAGAAAACAAGTCCTGCCAGGCAGTTAGAGTTTGCAGTGATTTTCCTGCAGAGTCGTTTGATTACCTGTTGAATACCTGTCCAGCTTCTTTAAAAACAAACAAACTACATATTTTCATAATGAGATATTTAATGTCCCATTATTTAAATGTCATCTTCAAATAAAGTCTGTGAATTATGAAATGAAAGAAGCCTGACATGCACCAAAATTACAGCATGGTTAGATGTCATCAGCTTACTCAGATTTTGTGAATTTAGAACCTAAAAGTTTATTGGATTTCATTAGAATTTTCTTAATGATAGATCAAAAACTACAAACAATTAACTGTGAAGTTAGAGTAAGAGCAAATTACAGCGATTCATTATAGCTACCGATATGTTTAGGGTCTTACCCCTGCCGGAAGGTACAGTAAACATTGGTTCAAGTCTCCTGTCTTTATCTTTTTCTAGAATCATCCAGCATTTGGCTTGATCCAGTTTTCCATAATCTTTGCTGAGTTTCCTTGTTCCTGCAGAAAGAAAACATCCCCACACTATGACGCTGCCGTTGTGGGGATTGTGCGTTTAACAGTGATATTTTTCCACTACACATATATATCGTTTGTGGAGCACTTCCTTCCTCATGTTTGGTTTGTCTCTTACACTTACAACAAACAGCTAACGGAACTTGTTCTTGGTTTCTTTCTGCTGTTCTACCAAAAAGTGAACAATTAATAGATCAATCAGAAGTTATCCCGTCAACGCTTTTTCTAAATAAATCTGTAGATTGCTGCAGCTGCTCCAGGGAAATGATTCGTCTTTTGAGCTGCCCTCTGATTGATGTTATTTTTGTTCAGGCTTTTTAAACGCATTTTTATATCAGGTCACGTTAGCATTATCACTTTTTTTTTGTTAAAGCTGTTTGAATGAAACTTATAATTCTGTGATCTTAGTTACATGAAACATACTGCTCGGTTAATACAAGCTTATTTTTATTAGTTTTAGGTTAGAAAACAAATTTAAAATGATTTAGCTTGATATTATCGAAACAAAGTTTGTACTTCTTAACATGACATACCATTTTAGACTCTTAAAGTGCAAAAAATATGCCTTGTTAGCCCAAATTCCGCCACCAGGCCTTGAGTTTGACTCATTAATGAAATCATCATCTTTATTATACACAAAGAGGCCAACTGTATTGCAGCACAGCTGATAAAGAACATTGGCTTAACAACACAACATACATGTATAAGACAGAAAACTTATCTGGAAATTAGGTAATTCAAAAATATTGTAAAAAAAAAAAGTTCTTACTGCGATAACGGACCTAATAAAACAAGAATAGAAGATAAGCATTAAAGTAGAATTCATGTTAAAACAACAAAGCTTTTGACAAAAAAGAATTCTCTGTTTAGTCTCTAAGCATACTAACTCCACACTGGGATCCAAAGTCAAACTGTCATCAAAAATGTTTCCCAGGTACCTGAGGTTTAAACGGATTGGTGTATCTTAAACTTTTTCTATTTTTAAAGTGATTGAGGGAACAATATTTCAAAAGGATGCTGTTTTTTTTTTTTTTTATATAATCCTGCTTTTAACTTCCAAACAAACTTCCCTTTAACATGGAACATAACAATAAACAGGGGCTTGTAATCAATGGATGTCAGACCTTTAAGATTTTATTTATATTTATATAAAAACTGAAAACCAATGTTTGAATTTCATTTTAATTCCCAAATAGTACTTTATTCTAATCAATCATATTTACAAGAGGTTAAATGAATTTTGTGCATGCAGCATTTCTTTAATGTTATTTATTTAAATCATTTTCACAAAGCCCTGTCACTGCTCTGCAAAATTGACTTCCGTTTCCTACAAAACATACTGTCTAAAATCATCCATCAAATCTATTTTTTTCTCTCCACA